TTGGGTGTTTTTTGCTTCCTCATATTCCAAATTCTTTTTTATTATTATTTATTTTATTTTTTTTAATATATTTTATTGATTTTTTTTTTACAGAGAAGAAGGGAGAGAGATAGAGAGTTAGAAACATCGATCAGCTGCCTCCTGCACATCTCCTACTGGGGATATGCCCGCAACCCAGGTACATGCCCTTGACCGGAATCAAACCTGGGACCTTTCAGTCCACAGGCCGAGGCTCTATCCACTGAGCCAAACCGGTTTTGGCATATTCCAAATTCTTGATTTGATTCTTGGTGTCCTCTACTCTACTGTTGAATCTTTGTAAATTATTCTTCATTTCAGTTAGTGTATCTTTCATTTCTGACTGGTCCTGTCTTTGATTTTCTCACTAAGTTCTTTGAAGTTCTCATTACGTTCCTTGAGCATCCTTATAACCAATGTTTTTTTTTTTTTAATATATTTTTTATTGATTCAGATATTACATATGTGTCCTTGTCCCCACGTTACCCTCTACACCCCCCCCCCGCTCATGCCCTCACCCCCCCCCCCCCCCCCGTTGTCCATGTCCATTGATTAGGCCTATATGCTTGCATATAAGTCCTTTGGTTGATCTTTCCCCCTTACCCCCACCCTCCCCTACCTTCCCTCCAAGTCCCGACAGTCCAATCAATGCCTCTCCGTCTCTGGATCAGTCCTTGTTCATCAGTTTATGTTGTTCATTATATTCCACAAATGAGTGAGATCATGTGGTATTTATCCGCTCTCCAGTTCCATCCATGCTGTGGCAAATGGTAAGAGTTCCTTTTTCTTCTTCCTCTTCTTTTTTTTTTTTTTTAATATATTTTATTGATTTTTTACAGAGAGGAAGGGAGAGAGATAGAGAGTTAGAAACATTGATGAGAGAGAAACATCGATCAGCTGCCTCCTGCACATCTCCTACTGGGGATGTGCCCGCAACCCAGGTACATGCCCTTGACCGGAATCGAACCTGGGACCCTTCAGTCCGCAGGCCGACGCTCTATCCACTGAGCCAAACCGGTTCCGGCTCTTCTTCCTCTTCTTAAAGAATACCTTTCAGCATTTCATATAATGCTGGTTTGGTGGTGATGAACTCCTTTAGCTTTTTCTTATCTGTGAAGCTCTTTCTCTGACCTTCTATTCTGAATGATAGCTTTGCTGGATAAAGTAATCTTGGTTGCAGGTTCTTGCTATTCATCACTTTGAATATTTCTTGCCACTCTCTTCTGGCCTGCATGGTTTCTGTTGAGAAATCAGCTGACAGTTGTATGGGTACTCCCTTGTAGGTAACTGACTGTCTTTCTCTTGCTGCTTTTAAGATTCTCTCTTTGTCTTTTGCTCTTGGCATTTTAATTATGATGTGTCTTGGTGTGGTCCTCTTTGGATTCCTTTTGTTTGGCATTCTCTGCGCTTCCTGGACTTGTAAGTCCATTTCTTTCACCAGGTAGGGGAAGTTTTCTGTCATTATTTCTTCAAAAAGGTTTTCAATATCTTGCCCTCTCTCTCCTTCTGGTACCCCTATAATTCTGATATTGGTACGCTTGAAGTTGTCCCAGAGGTTCCTTACACTATCTTCATATTTTTGGAATCTCTTTTCTTTTTTCTTTTTCGGTTGGGTATTTTTTGTTTCTTTGTATTTCAAATCTTTGACTTGATTCTTGGGATCCTCTTGTCTGCTGCTGGATCTCTGTAAATTATTCTTTATTTCAGTCAGTGTATGCTTAATTTCTAGTTGGTCCTTTTTCATGTCCTCCATGGTCTCACTATACTTATTGAGGGATTCATTAAATTTATCGGCGGTTTCCATAAAATTCTTGAAAAACCTTATAAACATGGCCTTGAACTCTATATCCAATCGTTTGCTTTCCTCCATTTCTGCCATTTGTGACCTGTTTCTTTGTCTCCGCATTTTGGCAGCTTCCCTGTGTTGATAGAGTGGCCCTGCACGCCAGGTGTCCTGTAGGGCCCAGTAGCTCAGCCTCCCCAGTTACCTGGGGTGGACACTCTTGGTGCACTCTTGGTGCCTTGGTTGTTGTAGGATCACTGGGAGGAATTGACCTCCAGGCCAATTGGCTGTGAGAATCAGCTGTGTCTAAAGTGGGAGAACTTCTGTGCTGAAGACACCCTTCTGGGGCAAGACTTGCTTCAGTGGGGCTTTGGTGCTCACTGAGTCTGCTCCCTGAGTGTGTCCCTTATGGATCTGAGGAGTTGCAATCTGGATGGTCCCCCTCTGACCACTGGGTACAATGGCTCCTGGATCTAAGGAGGTGCTAATTCAGCCTCTGCCTGAGGCCACACAGCAGGAGCCACGAAGAGGCTCAGCTGTGAAGCAATGCAAGCCACTGCGGGGCCTTGGGCCTTCTCTTGGAAGTTCCGGGTCTGCCTGGCTAGGCTGCAGTTAGGTACATTCACATGCAAAAGCCTCTGCCGCAGCCTGGGTGGGGCGGGGTCTCAGGGAATCAAAGGGCGGATCAAGGAGCTATGGCTGATTCTCCGCCCGGAGTCGCGGGTCTCAGTGACCCGCTAATTGCTGCAAGCACCTCTGAGGGAAAGCCGCCTTCAAGTTCGCCCGCTGCCGGACAGACCAGCTTCGCCCCGTATGAGTCCTGGGTCCCCAGAGACTTCCCGGAACCGGAGTTCAGAGCAGTCGGGAGCTTGTGATTCAAAAAGACAGCCGCGTCCTCAGGTGCCACCCCCTTTCCTCGCGCGCGCGAGCCGCTGTACCTCTGCACTTGTACCTCTGCACTTCACCTCTGCAGCTCCTCTGGCTCTCAGTGTGCTTTTCTTTCCTTCTAGTTGTAGAATTTACACTCAGCCAGCCTTCCTGTTGTTCTGGATGATGTTTGCTCTGTCCTTTGCGGTAATTTTCAATTGTTGTGTGAGGCGCCAATTTCCCGGTGTTTACCTATGCCGCCATCTTAGTTTCTCCTCATAACCAATGTTTTGAACTCTGTATCTAGTAGTTTGCTTGCTTCCATTTCATTTAGTTTTTTTTTCTGGAGCTTTCTTCTGTTCTTTCATTTGTGACGTGTTTCTTTGCCTCTGCATTTTGGCTGCCTCCCTGTGTGTATTTCTATGTATTAGGTAGAGCTGCTACGTCTCCTTGAGTTGGTAGAGTGGCCTTGTGTAGTAGATATCCTGTAGGGCCTAGCCTTCCCAGTCATCTGAGCTGGTCACTCTAGATGAGCCCCTGTGTGAGCTGTGTGCACAGTCCTGCTGTAGTTGCTCCTTGATTGCTCTTGGCGTCACTTGGAGGAATTGACCCCCCGGCTACAATTCCTGCTGGTTTTTACAGCCTAAAGTTATGGGGACTTCTCTTCCCGGCACTGGAACCCTGGGCTGAGGAATCTGGTATGGGGCTGGGATCCCTTGCTCCTCATGCAGACTTCCACAGCCCATTCTGCTCCTCCACCCTTCCTATCAGTCTCAAAATGGCTTCTTCTTTAATTCTCTAGTTGTAGGACTTCGGTTTGGCCAGATTTCAGATAGTTCTGAATGATGGTTGTTCGGTATTTTAGTTGTAATTTTGATGTGGTTGTGGGAGAATGTGACTACCAGATCTATGTATACCATCATTTTGATTGGAAGTCACTGCTTGCATTTTTGAATTCTTATCTCAGGGTCTGCTTTTTGGGAGGGAGAGAGCAAGGGGTCCAAACTAAGACATGGGGATAGTAATATTTCCTTCATTATGTTTTTGTGAGGACTAGAGTGCCGCAGTCTTTTTGCAGCAAGGGTTCAGGAATCTGGAGAAGGGGCTGTGACATAAATGGATATACTAGACAAGAAATATAAATTTGGAATGCATGGGGAAAGCCAGGTGGAAACCAGCTCTGTAGTGGAGTGGGTCTCCAAATCTCCGGACCCACGGCTTTTTTTTTTTTTAACATATTTTTTTTATTGATTTTTTACAGAGAGGAAGGGAGAGAGACAGAGAGCCAGAAACATCGATGAGAGAGAAACATGGATCAGCTGCCTCCTGCACATCTCCCACCGGGGATGTGCCCGCAACCCAGATACATGCCCCTAACCAGAATCGAACCTGGGACCCTCCAATCTGCAGGCCGATGCTCTATCCACTGAGCCAAACTGGTTTTGGACATGGCTTTTTATTTACACATTTTTCCCTTTAGCAAAGCAAACATACATATCAAAGGTAAGGTTTGGTAAACAATAAGGGATTATCAGGTTAGGGCAGTGGTTCTCAACCTTCCTAATGCCGTGACCCTTTAATACAGTTCCTCATGTTGTGGTGACCCCCAACCATAAAATTATTTTCATTGCTACTTCATAACTGTAATTTTGCTACTGTTATGAATCGTAATGTAAATATCTGATATGCAGGCTGTATTTTCCTTGTTACAAATTGAACATAATTAAAGCATAGTGATTAATCACAAAAACAATATGTAATTATATATGTGTTTTCCGATGGTCTTTGGCAACCCCTGTGAAAGGGTCGTTCGACCCCCAAAGGGGTTGCAACCCACAGGTTGAGAACCGCTGGATTAGGGGTATTGCCCTCAGCTGTTTGGCTAGCAGCAGGGTAATATAATGCTGATATTCAGCCCTGCTGAATATCAAAGCCCACTAGCCTTTTGAGGACTTTTCGCATTTATTATGACCTGCTGGACTCAGCCTCCCGCACTAGAGTGTGCAAAACTGCTCAGCAGATGGCCTGGCACATAGTGACTGCTCAAAAATTATACTATTGCTGTTACTCCATGAGGATTAATATCACTCACATTAACAAATGGTTGGTGTTATTAAGCTTATTATAGAGCCAGAGACTTGGGTCATTAAGAGGTTAGAGACAGCAGAACAGGGGTTCCTAGGTATGGGAGTTCTGAGTTAGTTATCCACTCTTGGGTTCTTGTTGGGGGACTCTGAACCAAAAGGGCTGTCAAGGTAGGTGTGTGGTGGATCTGGGAGGGTTCCTGTGGTTGAGGGGAAAGGGGGTCTTTACCATGAGCCTGTCCTTGTAGGCCTGGACCCTGCTGGACCAGAGTATACCAGAGCCAGTCTGGAGGAGCGCCTGGATGCTGGAGATGCCCTCTTCGTGGAAGCCATCCACACAGACACCGACAGTGAGCTGGGAGTTCCTCCTGGGGTGGGGGAATGAGCACAGGGTAAGGGCTAGGGGGTTGCCATATCTCTGGGTGGCCATGGGCAGATTCCCTCCCCTGCTGAACTTCTGTTGCACAGTGAGGCATTCCCCAGCATCCCGCAGGCTCTCTCAGTTTCGTAGCACTGAGATGAATGGTTTTATTTTTAGCTAGCAGCAGGCCGGAGATTTTTTTCAATTATGGACCAGTCTCACTCTTTGACTCAACACTAACCCTGTGCTGACGTAGTGCCAGGGTGGGCACTGCTGTTTGGCTGACATATGGGAAAGTCATGCTGCTTTTTCAGGGTGACTGTGCCTGGCCCGGGGGGAATGGAACATTTTACTCCTGGGACAAATTCTCAGGCCTCCAGGGGATGAGTCCCAGTGAAGAGTGAAAAGTCCCCTCTCCAGTAGTGACAGGCCCAGGAAAAAATCCCAACTCTGAATCCACTATGGCCAAATTAAGCTCTTCTGACCAGTTAGAAAGGGAGTGGGCATTCCTCCTCATTTCAACTCCCTATCAAATGTCATGAATCTGTGCCAGGCTCTGTGCTCAGCATTATGGGTAAAGGAAGAAATAGCATCTGTCCCTACCAAAGAGTGTGCAGTTCATGTGATAGATGTCCATGTCTCATTCCCTTTGCTCAGAAGTCTTCTTTTAGCATCCAAGACTAACAGATTGATGATTCTAGACAAAACCCATGCAATTATAGTGTTCAAACCTCTCCTTCCTTCATCTCACAGATAGATACTGAGAACACTGCAGTGAACAGACATACAGTAAATTAGGCCCTGCCCATGTGGAAGTTACAGGTTAACTGGGCAAACATTCATTCATTTATTCCTTCAATAAGTATTTATTAGGTACTCACATGTGCCAGGTATTCTGCTGGATTGAGGATGTAGCAGAAAAAAGACAGGTAAAGGCCCTGCTAGTGTGGAGCTTACATACAAATAAACAGACAAGGTAGTTACACATTGTGATTATGATAAAGAAGGACCTGAGTTAGAGGGTAACTTGGGTAGACTGTCTACTTTAAGTAGAATTATTGAGGACAGTCTACCCAAAGACATATTTGACATGAGACTTTGCAGATGTGAATGAACCAACCCTGAGAAGAGCTGGGAGAAGACCAATTTAGCGAGAGAAGATAGCCAAAGTGAAAGCCTGGATATGGGTGGGGGCAGGGCAAAGTGCAGTGAGTAAGGCACTGAGTGAGGTTGAAGAGGAGGAAGCAGAACCAGCTTGCCATGGCAAGGAGTTTAATTATTCTTGTATGATCAGTGAGAATGGGGCGGTGATTGAATATCCTTAAAAGATTACTGTGGCTACTAAGCAGAGAATGGACTTGCAGGGAGGGGAGCATTAAGAGAAGCCTGGAGGCACATTAGAGGGTGTTTGCAGTAAGACTGAGAGGTGATGGTGAGAGATGACGGTGGCAAGGGTGGTGGCAGTAGAGACAGAGAGAAGTAGAAAGATTCAAAATATATTTTTGAATGTATTTTGAGCTGACCAGACAGGTGATGGGATAAATGTAGGGAATGAAAGAAAGGGAGGAATCAAGAATAACTCCTAGGTCATTGCTTAATACCTGGATAGATGGCATTAAACAAATAATACACAATCAATTGCTTGCAATAATGATAGATGATATGGAGAAAATTTTTGTCTTTAGTAGCTGGATCCAACCCAGTCTGAGGGATCAGACATGGTCATGATGATCAAATGAGGTGTATAGTCTCTCAAACTCCTCTCTCTATAGCCAGGTCACATTTCTGCTCCATCAGGAGAGCACAAAAATATGTGGGAGAATGTGCAAATGTGGCCCCAAACATATATATCTGAACTGTTGCTTAAAATAAAATAGAAACTATTCCACAAGGAAACTTACCAAGCTTATAACACTTACTGATTTATTAAAACTTATGTTAAAGGATAGTTTTCTTGATTTTCATTAGGCAAATATGAGCATCTTATGGATTTATTTTGTGCTTCCTTTCAGAAAACCCTCTTTAGAAACGTAAGGGTTAGTCCTGCATTCTCATAGCAGGTAGGAGTGAGGTGGGTGCTCATTCAGAACACAGAGTAGGTGGGCTCATAAAGTCGCACCTCAGGCTCTGCTGCCAGTGGACTCTGCTGTGGGACCTGGGCAATATGCCCCTGCAGTAAGACGGTAACGGGCTTCTGCCTCCTTTCAGACTTGGGTATTCGGATTCCTGTTGGACATGTGGACTACTTTGTCAACGGAGGCCAAGACCAACCTGGGTGTCCCACCTTCATTCATGCAGGTCAGAAAGCCTCAGAGAGTAGGTGTTTGGCTTCCCCAGAGGCCAGAAGTCACCAATACCCTTTGTGTTGAGTCTGCTAGTGTGGGCCACGGAAGGTCTTCCTTCCAGTATCCTTTGCTATGTCCCATAATGTCTTACTCAGCACTTATTGAATGGATGTCTTTGGAGCCCAGGAATTCTGAGGAGAAGTGACTAAAATTGAAAGTCTTCCCCATACATACACTGCCCTTCCCACTTCTTAGGCACTGCCATGATATGACATCACTCAAGGCAATAATCTCTATTCTTCTTGGGTCCTGCTTTGTGGCAAGAGTCCACACTAGCTACATTCTTTACAGACCTAGTTGTGGAAGAAGTAGACCAACATGCCCAAAGCTAGGTAGCCAAAGGATCAATTCACTGAGTGACCATATTCCCAAACTTACTAAATTTAACAGTCCTCCAAAACTCTTTTCAAGATAATCTTCTTGAGTACAGCAATAAACTTACATTTCTTCTCTTCTAAGTATATTTTTATGAATGTTATTTTTGAATATACACATATTCATTGAATATATTCTTAGCATTTTAAAAACATTAAATTTGTCAAAAGTTAAGTATTAAGGGTTGTTTAGTCTTCTTATATTCTTCTTATGAATATAGTCAAACTATCAGCATTTCATATAGGAATTTTATCCTCATTTCTGTTGACTATCTTTATAGTTTCTTCCTGCTTTACCAAATTTTTGACATTTTCATTTTAAGGATTATTTTGACCATTGTATTGAATCAAATTTACTGATTTTCCAACTTATATATTTCCTGGCAATTTTGATCAGATGGGATAGTATGGTTTTAATGGCTTTTGAAAATTTCTATGGCATTTAGTTGGCCACTTCTCATTTATTCTTCATAGCATACTTTGAGAAGGATTTAGTTTGTCTCTCCCAGCTCCCTGTTGCAGCTAGAAGGAGGTTGGCCATAGAGCATCCCAACCGGGGGCAGGGGAAGCGGGGAATCAGCACACAGCTCAAACTTGGTTGCTGATTTCAGGGTTGGAGGGGTGGTGTCCCAAGATGAAGGGAGATTTGAAGATGCCTGAACCCTGAAATTTTGGCAAACTACAGACCTTTTAGCCCCAGCCAATTCATACAATATGAGTTACTGCAAAATTTTAAATAGTAAACAATAACAATAAAAAACCGAGTTTTTGATAAATTGGGACATTTGGCAAAGTGAGCATATCAGTCAGTTGGCCAGGTGAACCCCAGCACATTGGCTTCAGAGGTTGACTATGAACTGCTTGCTACTGACTCCTTTGGTAGTCTTGTTACTGGGTTGGGTTTAATGAGATTGTAATTTTTCTTTTGTAAAAAATTGGTTGTGTGAGTGATGATGAAGGTAAAATGTGCCGACAAGATATCCATTTTGAGAAGTGGGATTAGAATTGCCACGTCTGTATGCTCTCGTTTTCTAAAAGAGAATTAACATGATCACAGAAGAATGGGTCTCAAATTCAACAATTTTTCCCATAGATTAAGTATAAGTATCTTTGTAAAATGAAAAGGGAAAGAAAGAATGCAGTAACCATGTCTATTCATATTCTTTAAATGTGGCTCAGGGGACATCCTATGTATCTATAGCCTACGGGAATAGAAAATTCAATAGAGTTATGGTAAGAAGCATGAGAGAGTTTCTCTTTGCCTCTCATTGAAAATGTGGGTGTGTTTCTTTCCCCTGTTCAGGCTATAGTTATCTGATCTGTGATCATATGAGGGCTGTGGACCTCTACATCAGCGCCCTGGAGAATCTCTGTCCTCTGATGGCCTTTCCCTGTGGTAGCTACAAGGCCTTCCTTGCTGGACACTGTCTGGATTGTTTTAATCCTTTTCTGCTTTCCTGTCCAAGGATCGGTAAATGCTACCTCTTTGTTTTCTTTGACAATTTGGGGGAAGTCCAAGTATTGTTAGTTGTCACCGCTCTAGGTCCTGATCAATGGTCAAGAAATCTACCTAACTGTGATAAAGAAAACTTAATCAATGGGGTATTCAGCCTCTTTTAACCTGGAGGGTGTCATTTGGCCTGGTGTCCCATCCCTCACTCTCTATACTGCTGCCCGATCCCATACTCACCCTGCACACACCCTTACCATGCACACAGCCCATCCCCTGCAGGACCAGCCTCAGGATGCTCTCTAGAAACATTGCTTTATTCCAGAGCCTCTGACTCCACTTGTAAACTGGATGCTGGACAAAGGTCTTTTGAGTTGGTCCAGCCATTCTTGAATTCCTGGTAGTCCCTAAATCAAGGTGCTGTGGGGGAAGTCCCCAAGATTGGCACACATGGCCCACTTTAAGGGTGTGAGGCTGTGGTGGCCATGTGCCAGCTGGAGGGGTGCCTAATTGCTGGCCGGCTCAGGCACGTTCCTGGATGATCCAGGCCGTTCTGAGGAGAAGGGCTCAGGAAGGCTGAGGGATCTGGTGTTGCCTCACCTGTGCAGATCATTGCTGAAAACATCCTGGGGTTTTCTTCCAGGATGAAGGGCTTCAGGAAAAACTCCGGGGAGTGTAAATGGTTCCTTCCCCTTTCTCTCTCTCCCACTTCCCACCCCTGGCTCAGAGCTACAACAGCCTGGCATTGCTCACATGAATGAAATTGATTTCATCTTGACAAAATGGTAAAGTAAGGCTAGCTTCCCACAATAAAGCAAATCAATATTACTGCCTACTTGTTGGGCATATGTCATGATTTCCCTCAGATGTGACAGACTGGCTGGTGTAACAACCACTTCTCTCACAACAGCCTCATCTCTCACTGCACTTTCACTGACATGGCACAACCCCGGGGATGCTAACTACTGTACTCCTGAGAGCATTGTATGTTTCCTTACTCTTTGTGCCTTTGTTGAAACTGTACTCTCGGCCCTTCCCTACTTGTCAACCACTATTCAGCTCAAATATTTCCTGTGTTCCTACTACCCAGGAGGTAAATGCCATTAAACAACTGTCATGTAGATTGTTTTGCAAGTAGGAGTCATAATTTCAAATTTCTTAGAAATACCTCCTGAGAATGGGCCAGGTGATCTAAACTTCCTGTTTACTTGTGTGTTTATCCGCAGCTGGTCTGAGCTGCATGTGTCCTGGGACTCACCATAGGGCATGGCATGTAATGAGCATGCAGTGTGGTTGCTTGCAGAATGAATAGGTGCATGTATTAATCAATATGTGGCTGGATGCCATGGACTCTGAAATGGCCATCTCAGGACTCTGCTGTCTTTGTTTCTTGACTTCTAGGGCTGGTGGAACAAGGTGGTGTCAAGATAGAGCCACTTCCCAAGGAAGTGAAAGTCTACCTCCTGACCACTTCCAGGGCTCCGTACTGTGGTGAGTTGGGGGATAAAATGCACAGCTCAGGTCTGCCAGTGTGCTGTCCAGCAGAGACCAGGGCTCTGGCTTGGGCTGTGTCCAGCCCAGCTTGGTAGCCAAGGTGGGAGGTGAAGGACTGGGGCAAAGATGTCATGGGAGAGGTGGGGCACAGCCACTACTGGCCTCAGTTAGAACCAGAACTTTCAGAGCCAGTTTAACCCATTACTCTACTAAGGATGAGGACTTGAGAGCATCTTCCTATTTATATACTGATCCTAGTCCCCCACCTCAGCCACCCCCAAGTCTGCCCCTCCAGTGTGGGCTCTCTCTAGAGTGGTATTCGAAGGTACTTCTGGCTTCTTCCTTCCTGCAGGTGATGCCCATTCATAGATCCCAACTGTTCACTGTTGCTTCTAACCTTAGCATTTCATTGAAGCTAAGGTGCCAGTGATTATAAAGATGTTAAATGTGAGAGAAAAGTGAGCCTTAGAATCTATGAATTACATTGTAGGCTGAAACATCATCTTTCCCTATATGATTTGCATCTTAACTAGGGTGACCCTACTTCCTGGTTTGTGTTTTTATCCTGGGATCTCGTCTGGTTTATTGTGTGCACAGAACAGAAGTAGGCTGGGTTAGGATGATAAATTTATCATCCTAATGCTAATTCTAACTGATTTTCTGATCAACTGTGTCTGGCTGCTGGAGGGATCTTTGTGGCCATACCTTACTGGTACTAGAAGGTCTGGTGCAGTGTGATAGGGAGATCAAAGTTCAGACTCTGTGGTCTTTCAGACCAGGATTTGAATCTCAACTTCTCCACTCACCAGCTGTGTGACCAGGAGCAAGTTACTTAATCTTTCTGAACTTATATCCTTAAGTAGAAAGTGGGAACAATAATTGTACTGTATCTACTTTGAAGAACCAATTACACAGATAAAATAGTATATAGAAAGTTAGTAGCTCAGTGACTAGAACCCGATAATTAATAATTCCCTTCCCTTTATCAATCAGACAATTTGGGAAAGTAGATGCAGGTGTTTCCAATTTCATTCCAGAGAGAATTCATGGCTCCCTGTTAGGAACAAAGTAGGTTACAAGAGTTAACTGTGGGCTTTTCACATGTATCAGCTCCCTTGATAACCCAACTCTGAGAGGTAGGTGTGAGGAAAGGGAGGCTCTGAGAGACTGAGTGATTGCCCAAGGCTACATAGCTGGGTGAAAAAGTTAGGATTCAACTCTAGGCCTTCTGACTTCAAAATCTATACTCTTCCTATGCCACCTGCCTCCGCACTTGTTTCCTGGCTCCTCTTCTGAGAACCTGCTCTTTACAGCTGTATTTCTCAGCTACTCACCTGTCCTCAGCACCCCTTGGAGGTCAGCCTGAAAGAGGATGCTTAGTCCAGCGGTGGAGGCAGTGCTGTGGGGAGTGGACGTCCAGTTCTATTTCCCAGGCAGCTTCCAGGCCACCTGAACTGGCTCCTCCCTGTCTGCACAGGGAGCACAAGGAGATTATAGGCATTTGAAGGTCGCTACTGAGGCAGATTCATGTAGCCATAATTTTTCTGTTTTAAATTTGTTGTGAGACCTCCTCCTAATGCCCCCAGAAGCATGGTCCTGTCTGTTCAGGAAAACCTTTTTGCCTTTGTGCTTTGAGGCTTCTGTTCTGAGTGTTCAAGCTGGGACCTTCCATTCCCTCGGGGTATAGTCTTCCACCTGGTAGTGCAGGTGGTGCTGGCAGCTGGCAGCTCCCTGTTCTCACCCACTCCCAGGCCATCATGGCACTGGGGCTGGGCTCAGCAGTGCTTACCAGGACAGGGATTACCCTATACCCCTGCCAGGCCTGCACCAGCAGGGCAGAACAATCTTCTTTAGGTAAGATGAAATGAGGTAATAGAGAAGAACCGTTTCTCTATTACCTAATTCTCGTCATGTTCTATGAGGTGATGCTGGAGTTATTGTTTACAGATGAAGCACAGAGAGGTTCAGTGACTTAGACAAGGCAACACAGCAGGTGAGCAGCAGGGCTGGGCCTTGTATCCCATCTCTTGATCAACCATCCAGGGCTCTGTGTGCTGCTTCCCATGTCATACTCCTATGCAAATTGGTTCCCACTGACCCAACGTTAGCAGACCTGGTCACCTGGTCCTCCTGGGCCTTCCAGATAATGAAGAGCAGGAAGAAGCAGAACCTTAGGAAACTTTCTTGATCAATGATAACTTCTGGCAAAGAAATGGTATAATTAAATTCCTAAGGCTCATGTAAGTTAGCTTTTATTTTCTCACATCACAATTATCCACTTCAGTTCAACCTTGTCCATCACCGTAACAATCTACGTCCCATAGTAAACAAATGAGAAAGAGAGATGGCGGGGGTGTGGCACTTTCTTGGGTGTGTGTATGGGGGTGGGGGAGAGCATGTAGTGCTGTCTTTTCTTCTGGTGAGTTCTTGGCATCTCTCCTGAGTCCTGTCACTAACCCCATGAGCCTGGAGGGACCACAGGCAGGGGAAAGGGGAAGGACTGCTTCTCCAGCTATGTCCCAGTCACCAAAGGAGTCTGTGAAAATGTTCCAAGACCAAAGTTACTACAAAATGCCACCAGATGGGCCTACCTCTTAATAAGAAAATAGTGGGGTGTTAGGGAGGCTGCACTCCTTAACCTCTCCTGCCAGAGGGACAGCAGGTTCTAGCAGGTTCAGTGACTTAGACAGGGGTATTGCCGTGAGCCAGGCATCTCACACAGTCCATGTCAATGACACCAGCCTTGAGAGCCCCAGTGACCATGCTGCCTGGCAGGGGGAGATGCCACATAGGCACCCTCTGCTCCCCGACACTGTGTATATGAATGGTGGGGTTGGGGAGGGGCGTTACTATATTTGTGATTTAATTATTTAGTGTAAGAGATACTCTTTTTGGTTCTTTTAAAATCACACTACCAGATAACATCACCAAACAGGGTGGAGTGGGACATTCTAGCATTGCAAGTAATAATAAAAACTAACATGGATTGAATGCTTCTGAAGCACGGGCACTGTCTATGGACTTTACATGTAGTCACTCATTTAATTCTCATTGAGACCTGTGAGGGATCTATTTTATTTTCCTCAATTTATACTCGAAGAAGCTGAGGATCTGCAGTGACAGGTAATCTGTTCCAGGTCACACAGCTACGAAGAGGTAGGGCCGAGATTTCTAATCGCACTGCTGTGCTCTCCTGGGGGCTTTTTGGGCACTGCACCCACCAACCTCTAGCTCACTTGTCTGCTCTACTTTGGTTTCCTAGCACATCACACCCTTGTGGAGTTTAACTTGCAGGAGCCAAGAAACAAGGACACCCATATCGTGGTCACCTTCTTTAGCAGCAATGCCACCTCCTCAGGCAAGATCACCATGTAAGTAAGTGTCCCTCACGGCTGGCTGGCTTCTCTCCTTAGGACATAGTTTTATTACACACACACACACACACACACACACACACACACACACACACACACACACATCCCAAGACAGGCACTGTGTCATCATTGGTGAGTGAGCCGAGCCCACTGGGCTGGGGCTGGGGGTGAGGGCAGAATCTACCACAGACACATACTGGGCAACTGTCTTAGGTTCCGGGTCAGTACTGGGTTCAAGCATATTGCATTCAGACAGGAGCAGATGAGGCAGGCAGGCAGCAGTGATGGGGTGTCCCAACGGGTGATAAAAACATAGAAATTGTGTCCCTGATAGGAAGCAGTGCTCAGGTATCCAGGAGGGGGCATCAGGGATGTCAAAAGTAGGAGGACTTCAGCCATTAGGAAGGGCAGGCCGGAGCCTGGGAAGCACCCACTCCTGAGTAGGGGAGCAGCACTGGGTGAGTTACCAGAGCAGAATTGCAGGCAGTGTCAGGTAGCAAATGAATGCAAAGGGAGGGCCAGCAGGCTTGATGCTGGGTGGTGCCAATTACTGGAACAAGGGCTGAGCGTTTCCTTCCTTTGTGGTCACACCGGGGCCTAGCAGCTGGTTGGGACCAGGCTTGAGATGGGAGGGCAGAGGACCTCAACTCTAGGACATTACAAACCAGGCAGGGAAAAGGACCTCAGCAGTGCATGCTTCTTCAAAAAGTAATTGGTTTGTTACTCACAAACGAGTAAGACACTCACTAATCAGATAAAACAGCATCTCAGTTAGGGTCCAGTCTGGGAACCAGAACCCAAGGCAGGTAGTCCAATAGAAGGGATTTAACTCAGGGAACTGATTATGAATGTGTTGGGAGACCTGAAAACCCAAAAGGATGGGAGGCAACGCAGAAATCAGCCACAGGAGGAGCCATCCCACCCCAGGGCTAGAGGGACAAAGTCAGGGCGGTGTTGGCAGAGCACAGAACTGAGCTAGATTCTCCCTGGAACCTGCTGGCAGAGGAGCCTGAGAAATAAGGTTTGCAGAAGAATGGAAAGCACACAAACGGGCAAATGACCAGTGTGCGCACATACCAGGGTAGAAGTGCACAACTGTCAAGGGCAGATGCTATGCAAACATGTAAGGCGACACTTGAACAAGTGTGAGGACATATTTGAGTAGAGATTTTTATTATTATTATTGATTTCAGAGAAGAAGGGAGAGGGAGACATAGAAACATCAATGATGAGATACAATCATTGATTGACTGCCTCCTATATGCCCCACACTGGGGATCAAGCCTGCAACCCATGCATGTGCCTTGACCGGAAATCGAACCTGGGGTCCTTCAGTCCGCAGACCAAAACTCTACCCACTGAACCAAACCAGCCAGGGCTGAGTAGAGATTTAAGATTCTCAGAGTTGCTCAAGTCAGGCCCTGGGAGGGGACAGGAGGGGGTCAAGGCCCCATGTGAGGAGGCTGGAAGGGCAAGTCAGGGCCACTCCAAGCAAGGCCCTGAAGGTTAGAGATTTTGGTTGTATCCTGAGATCCAGGTTGGGGAGCCACTGGGAGTTTTAAACAGGAGTGTGACCAGATCACTTTCGGGTTTGAAAACATTTCTCAGGCTGCAGGGCTGCACATTCACTGTGCTTTCAGGGAAGACAAGTCTCTGCTGGAAGGAGCAGGACTTCTCGGCCCCCAAACAGCCTGCAACAGCCAGGGTACAGCTCACCAAGGCCACACCATGAACATGGCAGGCAGTCAGGACCCCAACCAGATCTCCAGGTGCCTAGCTGAGCCCTGTAGATTGTGGCTTTTCTTCTTCAGATCACTTCAAAGGTGTGTTCCTTCTAGATGGGTGTTTTCGTCACCTCTATTGGTAGTCCAATAGAAGGGATTTAACTCTGTGACAGTGACACACAACTCTGGCTGCACATTAGAATCACCTGGAGAGCTTTGAAAAATACTGCCACTAAGCTCCACCCCAGAAAAATCTGAGCAGAATCTCTGGGCATTGCCTCAATAGCTATACTTTTTTTTAAAAAAAATAACCTTTTATTTTTCAATTACAGTTGTACAATATTATATTAGTTTCAGGTGTGCAAACCAATGAGATTTGACATTTATATAATTACAGAGTGATCAGCCATATAAATGTAGTGCCCATGGGACATCACACATAGGTATTACAATATTGTTGACTATCTTCCAACAGGTATACTTTTAAAGCAGGGGCGGGGAACGCCCAGCCCACTAGTAGTATAAGGCCCGGGAAACCATTTGGTCTGGCCCTGCCAAGGCATTCGGGGTGAGTTAGTGAAATGTTTGACCAAACATAGCAGGCTGATTGTTGATAATTTTGTAAGGCCCAAGAATGATGTTATAAATATTCAAACAGCCCCTGGCAGAAAAACGGTTCCCCAACTCTCAGAACATGATTACCTTAAATTCCTTGGTGTTTTTGTTTTCTTGCAGAACAGAAATTGAAAAAAAGGTGGGGGGAGGGGGCCTGTGGATGGTCTTTCCCCAACTTTCTGTAATTTTGTGAAACCCCCAAATTTCCTTCTAATTAGAGAATTTACCTGGGCCTAGTCCCCAGCTGCTCACAGCGTCCTTCATACTCCTAGTTTGCAAGCTCCTCCATCCAAGCAACTTCTTCCAGTGAACATTAAATATTTCAAAAATACTTCCCACATCCTATCTAATAAAGACAGAATATGCTAATTGACCCTCTCGCCATGGCAAAGATGGCAGCGCCCACAGCCTATAAGGAATAAATATGCTAATTGACTGCCCTGCCCTCAAAGATGGCAGTGCCCACAGCCAATAAGGAGGGAATATGCTAATTGCTGCCCTGCCCTCAAAGATGGCAGCACCCACAGCCAATAAGGAGGGAATATGCTAATTGACTACCACGCCCTCAAAAATAGCAGCGCCCACAGCCAATAAGGATGGAATATGCTAATTGACTACCACACACTCAAAGATGGTGGCGCCCACAGCCACAAGATGGTGGCACCCAGTCCCCTCAGCCCCGCTGGGGTGGCAGGAGTGTGGCAAGGCATCCCCCAGTTCCCTCAGCCCCCCAGGTGCTCAGGGCCAGCCTGAGGCACAGACAAGCCTTGGATGGTGGCTGCCCAGCCACCCAGGGCCGGCCGAGGCTTGCGCTGCAGGCGGTGGCAGCAGCAGAGTTGTGATGGGCGTCGCCTTCCCCTGATCGCCAGGTTGCCTCCCGCCCCTGAGGGCTCCCGGACTGTGAGGGAGGGCAGGCTGGGCTGAGGGACCCCTCCCCCCTCCAGTACATGAATTTTCATGCACCGGGCCTCTAGTGTAAAATAACAGGAACAACTTTTATACAAAGTTATACTGGATCTTCCTCAAAAGGGGAGAACAAACTAAATGACTAACCCTGGGTTAAAAAATACATAAAGAAGACATTTCATCTCTGTGGAGGCCAGAAACGAAAAGGAAACCTTGCTGCTGAGCCAGGCCCGGCCTCACCCACCTTCTGCCCGAGAGCCCAGCGAGGACTGAAAGGCAACCTGACCAGAGCACAGGAGGCACCTGGCGCCCTCCTGGCTCTGCGGGTGGGCCTGGCCGGTGCCAAGCCTGTGCTGCTTGGCAGGCGTCTTCTCCACATGGGGTCCTGCTTTTGTCTAGGGTCCTGTGGCCCTTTCTGGGGCACTTCTCTAGGTTGATCACTGCATACTCCGCTCTCCATCGTTGTCTCAGGACACGAGTCCAACGTGGTGCCTGAATCTTGCAAACCGGTGGGCAATCAGGGCAAGGCCAATGGGGCCAGTTGGTAGAGTCCTGGATCCCGTGTTCACTCGGAGCCTCTGGGCTTCGTCAACACCAGCAAACCCTGTGCTTCAAGCTCACGGCCGGCGGGAGAGCCGGGTTCACACCTCTGGCTCCCGCTGGGAAGAGATGAAACCTGGCTCTCACCCCAGCTCTATCTAGTTTCCAGACCTGATTTTTGTTTCTTCCCACCCACACATTCAGACTCTGTCTAAAATAGAGCAGTCCTCGCATTTTCTAACTGCAATGACAGCGGCAGCGGGTTTTCCCGGACCGGCGGGTTCCACGGGAAACACTGCCGTCGGGGCTGCCGAGGGGTGCAGATAGCGGCTCTTGGGGGGCTGTGAGGGGAAAGTGCCGGGATTGGGGCTGAGATCCAGGGGAAGCCTCACTGCCCATGGCCACCGATGAGGGAGGGGAGTCCTGGGCCCCAGCCCTCATCCCCTGCACTCAGCGGCCCCCGCCACAGCTCGGTGCCTGAGCCCGAAGCCCATTTTCGCAGCCTCAAGCCCCTTTCATTAACACCTTTCGTACCGCTCACGAGCTTTCTCGTGTTTCACGCGACATCTCTTATGGACCTTAGATGTCAACACACTGTCTTGTCCACATCGAATGAAGCGATCTCATTGGTGGAAACCGTGCAGGTCAATCTACGAAAAACTATATGATTGCATGAACCCATAAAGCATTGCAGTTACATTGTATTTTGGTCATTCGAATAGTCTTTGTCTTCAAGTTCCTGGCGCTTTTAGAAATGCCCTCTCTCAGAAAAAGGAAGGAAACCAACGAAACTGATACACTTCCTTTCGTGTTGTTCCATTCTAAGGAAAACGATGAAATGGACAAAAAAAGTAGTGCTGTACCTTATAAACTGTGGACTTTCCAATTCATTTAGAGTGTACAAAGTCCTCAATCCACAAGCAAAAATGAAGTAAAAACAGTTTCTGCTATCGGTGGCGAGAGACTGGATAACGGATGACAATAATGAAGGCTCTCCGGAACCAGAGACAAATCTGTCCAGCCCTTCCCCTGGGGGTGCAAGGAGAGCACCCCGTAGAGATCCACCCAAAAGGTTGTCAGGTGATATGAAGCAGCATGAACCTACGTGTATTCCAGCGAGTGGAAAGAAAAAATTTCCTACGAGAGCCTGCAGAGTTTGTGCCGCCCATGGAAAAAGGAGCGAATCTAGATACTTATGTAAATTTTGTTTGGTCCCTCTTCATAGAGGAAAATGTTTTACGCAGTACCATACGTTAAAAAAGTACTAGGAACTTTAATTGTTTGTTTTTGTAAATAAAAATGTTATAATTATTAAAAAACAACACCTAAAGTGCATTATGATCTGTAGTTATGATGATTTAAATAACGGGCAGTTTGTCCAAAAACGTGCGGTCCCTGGCATATGTCTTAGAGATTTCTATGCGGTGCAAAAGGTGCTAAGAGCGAGCTCCCATGACGCGTCTAGGAATCTCCCCCATAAGGAGGGGAACTTCTCTGCGTCCCTGCGTCCCCGCCTCCCACCCTGGGCCTGGCCCAAACCAAAACGAGGGGTGGGGCGGCGAGGGGAGGGCAAGGCGCAGGCTCTTGCGGGATGGGCTTCGGCCTTCGGATCATCGGGGCACAAAGCCTAAGTAGCAGCCGAGGGTTCTCAGCGGGCAGCGTGGCGTCACGGAGGAGCCCAGGAGGCCTGTGGGCGCGGTTCCCCCCAGGGCCCCCCTGCGGTTGGCTCCGCAGTGGTCCGGTCCGGGTGACGTGCGGAAGCTCCGCATTCTCTGCTGTCGATTGTGGCTCAGGCCCCGGTTCTGGGCTGGGAGCCCAGAGCAGCCTCGGCGCCTGGAGGAGCCCGGACCGCCCCTCCGCGCCCCTGGGGCTGGTCCTGGCAAGGCCAGGCAGGGCTCGGCAGCATTGCCCGGAGGTATGAGGGGGAAAAAAAACCCCTCATCCCTATGGTGTTCTATGGGCATTGCTGATACGTGCAGCCGTGGTCAGATTTTTTCTTTTTGCTGTGTTTGTGGGTGAGTTTTTGTTGGATTAGAAGCCGGCTTTATGTGGAAGGAGGAAAAGCGTGCCGCGGAACTTTCTACACTAATGGAAGAAAACTGTAAACCACTTGAAAAATGCAGCCTCGGAGAAGAAGAGTGCGAAAGCTTCGAATCATTACAGGATTCCAGCTTCGAGGAGGAGCCGACAGAAACTCGAAGTTTGGAGGCAATCTGTGGAAAGCTGAACAGTTCCAAATCCGAATTTGGGGATAAAATACTCTTCCTAGCAACAGAGTTAAAGGAAGAGGAATCCGAACAAGACGGATTGGTGGTGGATATTTCCAAAAGGATACAGTCCTTAGAAGATGAATCAAAATTACTCAAATCACAAGTAGCTGAAGCCAAAACCACCTTCAAAATATTTCAAATGAATGAAGAGCTACATAAAATAGCCATAAAAGATACTTTGAGTGAAAGTTCCCAACTTCAGGAAAGCCAGAAACAGCTTCTACAAGAAGCTGAAGAATGGAAAGAACAAGTTAGTGAACTTAATGAACAGAAAATAACATTTGAAGACTCCAAAGTATATGCAAAACAAGTTTTATGTGACAAAGAAAACCAGATCAAATCTCTGACTGAATACTTGCTAAAGATGCGAGACTGGACTGCAGTGCTTGGAGAAGACGTCAGGGATGATAACTTGGAATTGGAAATGAGTGATTCAGAAAATAGCACGCTCTCAGGTAGTGAACCAAAAGGAGATCTGAAGAAGCTGATTCATACTGCTAAGTTAAAGGCTTATTTAAAAACCCTAGAAGGAGAAAGAAAACAAATATACAACCAATTAACTGAAGTAAATAAAACAAAGGGACAGCTTATAGAGTGTATTAAAAATCTCCAGGCTGAACACGTATCTTTGCAGTCAGAAAATGAACATCTTGAAAATGAGAATCAAAAGCTTCAGCACAAACTTAAAGTAATGACTGAAATGTATCAAGAAAACGAAAAGATACTTAACAGGAAGTTAACAGTAGAAGAAAATTACCGGCTAGAGAAAGAGAAAAAACGTTCTAAAAGAGATGAAAAGATCACCCATGCAACTGAAGATCTAGAGACCTATAGAAAGCGAGCCAAAGATCTTGAAGAATTATTAGAGAGAACCATTCATTCTTATCAAGGGCAGATTATTTCCCATGAAAAAAAAGCCCATGATAATTGGTTGGCAGCTTGGACAGCTGAAAGAAATCTCAGTGATTTAAAGAAAGAAAACCTTTACCTCCGACAGAAATTAACTGAAACAGAGCTTAAATTTGAACTTTTAGAAAAAGATCTGTATGCACTTGATGCTCCAAATACAGCATTTTGCAGAGAGCATTCCCCATATGGTCTGTCACCATTGGGTCAACCTTCATCTGAAACAAGAGCTTTTCTCTCTCTTCCAACTTTGTTGGAGGGCTCACTCAGAGTCTCACCTTTGCTTCCAGGGGGAAGGAAGAGAGACTTAAGAGGCCCAGGGAATCCTCAGGACCATCAGATGACTAATGAAAGAGGAGAATCAAGCTCTGATAAGTTAACTCATCCTCACAGGGAACCTTCTCACACTGGGTCCCTTTCACCTCCATGGGAACAGGATCATAGGATGATAATTCCTCCATCAGGCCAACCTTATCCTGATCCAGCTCTTCCTCTACATAGGCAAGACAGATATTATGCTAATATTGGTAGGCCATCTGGACCAGCAGAACACAGAAGTTTTAATATGCCAGATGGGTCAATGTCTTCCAAAATGGAATCCAGTGGGAATGATAGCAAAGATCATCTCGGTAATTTAAATATGCCTGATGCATCTCTCCCCACCAAAAGTAAAGTAACTGGCCCTGGCATTGTTCCTCCAATCAGAGGTTCATTGTTTCCAATGGATGCAAGGGGCCCCTACATGAGACGAGGTCCTCCTTTTCCTCTACTTCCAGGAAGCATGTATGGAGCTTCCTGTGATTATTTTCCTCCAAGGCACTTTTCTGGCCCACCACCTCCTCCGTTAGCAATGAGGAATGTCTATTCACCAAGAGCTTTTCCTCATTATCTTCTCCCAAGAGCTGGATTTTACCACCATATCCTAAAAGAAGAAGTAAGTACCCATCAGTGTCGATTCTGCCTTCAAGTGAGCCTACTACTGAATGAACAACCAGAAACACAAGAGCCTCGACAATAGTTTTGGTCTCCAAAAGTAATTTTGACTTCTTCCATTTTCAGTTTAAGTACAGCTGTTACTTAAGTGATTATACTTATGCTCAAATTGGAGCTTAATGGATACATTCTCAGGATAGTATTTTATAAATAAAGATTATTTAAATATGAATATAATCAATTATTTCTATTTTATTTTAGTCTACACAATGTAATTATTTTAATTTGATTAACAAATCCACTATCACATAAACAATAATGGGAGTTTCTTATATGTGATCTTGTAGTTGGGGATGTTTTAAATTCCAAAGGCTATGTCTTTATGCCAAGAACTGTATTTCCTATTGTTATAGATAAATGTGAAAATAACTTTATGCTTAATTAAGTAAATTTTAATTGATTTAGACATTTGCTTGGCATAGACTATAATAATAGAATCAGCTAGTTTTTTTCATTAAAGAAAAAAAGGGTGGAGTAGTCCTCACACAAAATCCTTTGACCTGAATGCCCTAAAAGTGGGCTCTAATGAAAGACTGGTAAATCTGAAAGTGTAGACCTTTCCCAACTAGGAATCTAAGAACGAGGGACATTTTTCAGATGTGAAAATCCAAGGGCTACTATTTTGCTGCAGTGTCCACTTGTTTACTTAAAAAAAAAAAACGGAACAAATATTTTTTTGAGTCATGTGCAAAACTGTGGGTATGGGCAGAAGGATTTGTTGGGGTGATACAAAGGACCATGGTCCCCACCTTCACGGAGCTGACTCTTGTATATCACAGCTAACCAGTGCTACCAGCAGAACCTCATAAGGATCAAGGGCAGCAAGATCAAAAGTGCTACATAATTACTCTCCCTTTCCCTTGTAGACCGAAACAGAAACTTCAGGGGAGAGGAGTCCTAGCTCACCCCACTCCTCAGTGCCAGATACACCAAGTGAATCTCAAGCTTCAGGCTTCTCGCCAGTTTTGGAGCAAGGACCGGACTATCATTGTTGGGAAATTCTGCACTGCTCCTTTGCCTGTCAATGACAAGTAAGCCGAGTGTGCACCTGCCCCAGACACACCCATAAGGACCAATCCTGACCGTAGATATGATGCTTGTTGAGGTTCGATCTCATCATAAGTGATTTGCTTCTTTGATGCATAGATGACAACAACCCAAGGCTTTCCTGACACACTTGCAGGGCTATCTTGGGTTGGGAATGTTAGGAAGCCAAAGAGGGTGAAATCTAAATCCTCATTCCCACTTCAAAATAAGAAACCCCATTTTACCTGATCTATCTATCTATCTATCTATCTATCTATCTCTATCTTATTTGATTTCTATATAAGATTTTGTTAGAATAAAGATTTCTAATTGCATTTTTCCTCCTCCTTAGTGTCCACTGGTCACATTCATGGGTGTGGATTGAGACTCCCCATTCCCTTTACCCTGCCTCTCGCCTTTATAGTATGAGTCCTACCATCCCGGTCCTTTGGAGGACAGTAGGTTCTTATAGTAGACAACTGTAGACTTCTTTCACCTGACATCATTAAAACACAGAGCTCTTACTCCTCTCTCCTGACCAAAAGGAACCTGCCCTGAACATATATCTTCTTGTTGTCCTTCTCTTGTAGTAAAATGACGGTCTGCGTACCTGAGCCAGTGAACTTACAAGCAAGTGTGACTGTTTCTCGTGACCTTAAAATGACGTGTGTATAGTAAAAGCCTGGACAGGACATATCCTTGGATTGTAGGGACGGGGGCGGGGAGGGAGGGGTTTCAACTTATTCTAGGCCACTACTACTAAGAATGAAGGCAAGACTCGTGGTTATTTCCCCCATAATTTACTACCTTAGAAGGGAAAGATGGCTCAGTTTATAGAGCTATCTTTATTTGCATGCCAATTTAAAGAGCCTTATATAGATATCATTTCAGCTTTCTTACTCGTACTTAAGAGCAATTACCCCATGTCCTTGTGCTCTGTACAATAGAAACATATATAGGAAAAATGCTTTTCTAAAAAATAAAACTCCATGGAATATCTGAATTATTTATTATTTTATTGGGATGGAATTCTGTTACCAAAAATAATGTGATTTATAGTCTGTGGGATTGGAAAAACAGTCGATATTGAGTTCTCTGCATTAAAATAGCAATTGGAAAGAAGAACTTGGAACAAGAGAGGGGATGAAGGGTGGGGCTGAAGATACTGCCTTTCACTCTCCTTACCATCGCCTTTTCTGGATATCTGGAAAGTTTGGGGGGATCAGAGAGATCTTTGGGAAAATACAGGTAGATTTTCTTTGTGTCAGTGTTTCTTAAACTTTGATCTTTATATATAGTCTTGTATCAGCCACAGTCTAGCAAGAAGCAGATGGTGCATTCAAATTGGGTAATTTAATAAAAGGACTATTTACAAAGGTGTTAGTGGGAAGTGGGGAAACCATGCAGGATAGTGCAGCTGCGGAGCTAGTGGCAGTGGGAGCCACTACTCTCTCTAGGTATAAGGAGGCAAGTGGAAGGAGCACCAGAACCTGGAGCCAGCATGGGCTTGGGGACCTTCAGTCAAGGGACACAGTCATCAGGCAGCAATATTGCAGGGCGGGAGCCAGGGAAACAGAGTCTCCAACCTCACTCTTCTTTCCTCCCTCATTCCTCTGCTACTGCTCCCCATTGAGTGACTACAACTAGAAGCTAGAAGGCAAGAGGCACAGTGATGCGGCTCAGGAGGAAAAGCAGGGCAGAGAAGAGTAGAGAATGGATGGGTGGGAGTGGGGAACAGAGAGGTATGGCTCATACCTTCACCACTTTCTCCATAGCCAGGTATGACCTGGATTCTTCTAAGCTTAACTGTTTCCTTTAAATTAATTATTTAAAAATCATTTTAATCACTTTTAAGTGAGCAACAATTCAGTGGTTTTAAGCATATTCGCATTGTTGTGTAACCCTCACCATGATCTATCTCCAGAACTTTTCATCATCCCAAACTGAAACTCTACCCATTAAATAACTCTCCACTTGCCTCCCCCAGCCCATAATAACCAATATCCTACTTTCTGTCTCTACTAGAGGCCCAATGCACGAAATTTGTGCAAATGGCTCAGCCCTTGCAGCTACTGTGGCTTGCCTCGGCCCTCACAACCCTGACTTCTGGAAAGTCATTGGGCTGTCTGGTCTAATTAGCATATTATACTTTTATTATTGTAGATGCATTCTACTATTCTAGGTACTTCATACAATATCTGTCTCTTTATGATTGGCTTATTTCATTTAGCATAATGTTTTCAATGTTTATCCTTGTTGTAGCATGTGTCAGAATTTCCTTCTTTTTTAACGGTAACTAATATGCTATGTATGCATATACCACATTTAGTTTATTGATTCATCCATCATTGGGCATATGAGTTGCCTTCTACCTTTTAGGTATTGTAAATAATGTTGCTATTTATATCAGTGTGCCAATATCTGTTCAAGGCTTTTTTATATAAAAACCTGCATAAATGTGCTTTGAAAGGAAACTGCTGATTTGCTGATTTACTCTCCAAAGTAAAAGCAGAGCAATTGATATAAGCAATAGGCTATCATTGCTCCATTTGAGTCAAGTCACCTAGGGTCACCAGGAGAGAGCTTTGTCCAGGCTGTAGAAATGCAGCCAAAGGGACGGGGGATGCCATGTACTGTTAATCTAAAAATAAAAGCCAAAGTAAGAGGCAATAAGCATTTATTTGAGATCCAGAAGAATAGCTATCCAGGAAGCAGTGAGTCAGGCAGAAACCCAAATAGTGTTCCAATTAGGAGACGATGGGGAGGAGTTTTATGAAAAAGGGAAGGGGAACAATGACATGAACAGGAGGAAGGAGTTTCTGTAAATGCAGATGAGCTAACACAGTGATGCTAATTCTGAAAAGTGTCCTGTAGTCATAATGTCTGCTTTCTTGTCACATTTCCAGACAGTGGCTTGGGATATAATGTTGCTTCAGGCCCAGTCCAAAGGTTATCGTGTCCACTTTAACATTGCAAAGGTGTGAGGAATAAGATGTGCAAAGCAGTTCCTTGGATGGTAACTCCACCTCCATTTTAAAGTGGTCCCATTGCTATTGGTTTTCACACACTCACTCACGTGCTTTATTTTCTGCGCAGTCCACTACAGTCAGTCTGAAAAATCTAGATGCTCCCCAATATGCAGGCTTGGAGTTCTTTTTTCAAACCCAAAACCATCTCGTTTCTTACTCTCTCCCTTTACTCACCCATGTTCCTGGCAAGAACCTCCCAAGAGATCTCTTACCCTGAGCTATATTAGGCTTCATTTCCTGTTATTGTAACACCGTTGCTTCTTATGAGACAATGCTCAGTTTTCCCTGCTGCTTGTTGCTTCAGAGTATGTGTAAATGATGTTATGCTTCTGTGATCAAGATTGTGTCCTGTGGTGCCGATGCTAATTGCTGATACACTGAGCAGACGTGCAGTTTCTCCTTTTTGTGGTTGGGCACAGCCCTGTGTTTCTTGGCTAATATAGTCTTACTTTAAAGTGCTTTTATTTAAAAAAAAAAAAATCTTTTTAAATCCTCACCCGAGGATATTTTTCCATTGATTTTGAGAGAGAGTGAAAGGAGGAAGGAAAGAGAGAGGAAGAATGAGGGAGAAAAAGAGAAACATTGATGTGAGAGACATACATCAATTGCTTGCCTCCTGCACACACCCTGAGAATTGAGCCTGCAACCAAGTTATGTGCCTCTGACTGGGAATCGAACCAAAGACTCTCTGGTTTGAGGGCCCACGCTCTAACCACTGGACAACCGGCCAGGGCTTTAAAGCACTTTTAGATTATCTCACAAGTTATTTAGCTCCCCATCAGAAATTTGAGATTATCACTATAAATGATAAACCAGTTTCTCTTATCATAAATTAATCCTAAAAACAACTACAATGAGAACATAATAATAATGTTTAAACTTCTAACTAGGTATTGTGGCTTGCTGAAGGCTCCATGCCCTAGGCCTGTTCTGCTCTTATAAAAAGGGAAGATTAGCAAGGATGAGAGAGGTGTCAAAAAATTTATTAATGCCCAGGACTCTCTTCTATATGTAATCCGTGGGTTGAAAATTAAAATATGAAAAGCAATTGTACCAAGAGATTTAATGTTATCTAATGCTGGGTCTATGTGCTACCTTCAACCATCTTGCCTAGTGTCGGGTATACGGCCCTCACTTTCAGAAACGTGGCTAAGTAGGTGGGATGTTTGTGGGGTAAGGAAGAAGGGAAAGCTAACAAAAGACCCCAGTCACTGCTTGATAACATATATTGTATTTTTAGGAGGCCTTTTTAAAGCTTGTAACTCAGGGTTTGGATACTAGGGTTCATTTAAAGCAGCTCATTGATTTCTTCTCAGTCTTGGTCTTCATATTAATTTCCCCATCAAATTCACACCAGCTTACTCTCTCTATATATATTTAACATTATAAAAGCAGTACGTGCTCATTTTAACAAATCAAACTGTAGACATATAGTCACCACAGCCCTGCGGTAATCAATGTTAATAGCTTGGTTTATGCCCTTCTACACATTTCTCCATTTGAATACAAATATATACATACAAAGTTGTTTTTTGGTGTTTTTTTTAAACAAAAATGAAATCATAGCACATGTATTACTCCACACTTTTCCTTTGTTACATAACAATATATCATGAACATCTCTCCTGGTACTATAATACATAAGTCTAGTTTATTCACTGGGTATTTAATATTCCATAGTACAGATATGCTATAATTTGGCCAACCATTTTTTTTGTGTGGTGCATATTAAGGTTGCTTTCATTTTTTTTTAAACTACAAGTGATGCTGCAATAAATATTTTTGTATGTCTATTCTCATATCAGTGCCTTCATTTCTTTCTTTCTTTTTTTTTCCAGTACCTTCATTTCTATGTGGTAGGTATCTTTGGTGAGAATTACTAGGTCAACAAATATATTAAAAGGATAGTAATGCACCCTGGCTGGGTAGCTCAGTTGGTTAGAGTATCCTTCTGATACGCCAAGGTTGCGGGTTCAATCCCTGGTCAGGTCACATACAAGAATCAACAAATGCATAAATAGCCCAGTTGGCATGGCTCAATGGCTAAGCATTTACCTCTGAACCAGGAGGTCACAGTTCTATTCCTGGTCAGGGCACATGCCTGGGTTGCAGGCTCAATCCCCAGTGTGGGGCGTGCAGGTGGCAACCAATCAATGATTCTCTCTCATCATTGATGTTTTTATCTCTTTCTTTCTCTCCCTTCCTCTCAGAAATAAAACAAACAAAACAAAAAACAACAACAAATGCATAAATAACTGGAAGAAGAAATCAATGTTTAGAAAAAAAAAAAGGTTAGTAATGCTGTAGATTACTTTCCAAAAATGCCATACAGATTCACATACACTCTGACAATGGTTGAAAGAAATTGTTTCATTGCAATTATTTATTCCAGTATTATTCTCCCTAAGACAAATAACCCAAATCCCCATATCTCTCCTCTGGAGTTACCATGTGACATTCAGTTGATTCCAAGTTGGCTGACCAGTTACCCACTTGTGAAACTGGGATGTCTCTCTTTCCTTCAGAATTATAGGGGCCTAAGATTTTAGTACCTTTTAAAACTGGGCATTCATTCAGACACAGGAGTCTTTAGAGCACTGAAACTCCCTACGGGTGAGCTATGATGAACTTTTAAAAATAAAGTCTTATTGTTTGGGTTTTTTTTTTTTTAATATATTTTTATTGATTTCAGAGAGGAAGGAAGAGGGAGAGAGAGAAACGTCAATGATGAGGGAGAATCATTGATTGGCTGCCTCTTACATGCCCCACATGGGGATTGAGCCTGCAACCTGGGCATGGGCTTTGACCAGGAATTGAACTGTGACCTCCTGGTTCATAGGTTGAGGCTCAACCATTGAGCCCTGCTGGCCATGCTTATTGTTTTTTATGATTGTAAAATTCCACTCATCTAAAAAATTTCAGCCAATCCAGAGAGTTATAAAAGAGAACGTGATAGCTAAAGCTTCCTGAGCATTTAGCATGTGCCAGGTA